GCTCTCCCTCGAACCATAACTGGGATGACCTACTCGAATACCTCGCCGTCCAGATCGACTTCCTGAACATCAATCACCCCACTTCAGAGGTAGTTCTTCTCGGTGATTTCAATGCCCACAATGAGCTTTGGTTGGGCTCAAATAAGACCGATGCAGCAGGTCGTGCAGTCGAAGCGTTCGCTCTTACTCAAGGGCTGACCCAGCTGGTGACGAGCCCTACTTTTTTTCCCCGCGTCTCGTCACACGCCAGTAGCCTGCTGGATCTCTTTCTGACCACGGATCCTGCCCCTTACAGCACTGCCGTCCTGTCCCCCCTGGGTAACTCGGATCACGGTGTTGTGGAGGTTAGGTTTCGGTCAGAAGCCGCTGTGGCCGCAGAAACTCGCACAGGCCGCAAAACTTGGCATTATGGACATGCCGACTGGGAGGGGCTCAGAGACTTCTTCTCTAGCTTTCCTTGGAGAGATGTCTGTTTCACTGACACCGATGCGTCGACTGTCTGTTTTTCAATAACCGAAATTATCCACGTCGGAATGGAGGAATACATCCCTCACACAGTGAAAGTTCCTAAACCAGGGTCCAACGGCTGGTTCAACAAATCGTGTGACACTGCTCGCCAGCAGAAGATCAAGGCCCACAGAACCTACTTACAAAACCCCACTGTGGAGAACAGACAAGCCGACGTCGAGTCCAGAAACAAATATAACGAAGCGGTTCGCAATGCCAAAACCCAGCATGATATAAAAGTTAGGCACAGGGTAATGTCGCAGCGCAATGGCAGTCGGTCTTTCTGGACGCTGGCCAAGTAGATTGAAAAGAACTTCTCACACAGTAGCCTTCCACCATTTACGTGTCAGGATGGAACTATTGTATTCGACTCAAAGGCCAAGGCGGAAGTGCTAGACTAGATCTTTGCTGCCAACTCCACCATGGACGTCCCCACCAACGCCCAAGTGCCGTCAATTCAAAGGGTTCCCCACACTATGCGGGAGGTAACATTCAGGCATAAGACCGTAAGACGAGTGCTCTTGTCGCTCGACATCAACAAAGCTTCTGGTCCGGACTTGATTCCTGCCATTGTACTGAAGAGATGTGCAGCGGAGCTTGCTCCAGTCCTTTCGCGTCTCTTCCAGATATCTTATGAATCCGGCACCTTCCCAGAAAACTGGAATGTACAGCCCATCCCAAAAAAAGGATCTAAAACCGACCCTTACAATTACAGGCCTATAGCTCTGCTTTCTGTTATAAGTAAAGTGATGGAGAGGTGCATAAATCGCGAGCTTCTGGACTACCTCGAACGTCACAGCTTGATTAGCGACAGGCAGTACGGTTTCCGGCACCAACGATCCACAGGGGACCTCCTAGCTTACGTCACGCAACTGTGGAGTAAACTCATCCAGTCTCATGGTGAGGCTCATGTCGTTGCTCTTGACATCACGAAAGCGTTCGATCAGCTGTGGCACGCTGCCCTCTTGAGCAAACTTCCATCCTACGGCCTCCCAGAAAAGCTTTGCAGATGGGTGACTGACTTTATCTCTGGCCGCAAGATATCCGTCGTAATTGACGGATTCTCCTCTTCATCCCACAACGTCAACGCGGGTGTTCCCCAGGGATCGGTCTTGGCTCCAACACTGTTTCTCTTACATATCAACGACCTCCTTTCCTGCACGATCAACTCAATCCACAGCTTCGCTGATGACAGCACTCTACATGCAGGAATTCAGAGTGACAAGCCGATCTCTGCCGCTGAGCTGGAAAAAAGAAGACTAGCGACGACTTCTTCTCTAGCAAGAGACCTGGAGGCTATAACTGCTTGGGGACGCAACAATCTTGTACAGTTCAATGCTTCCAAAACACAGTACTGTACTTTGACGAACAAAAAGCGTCCTAGCGCTCATACAGTTTCGATGGACGGTCGAGTTCTACCAAAGAGCCATTCATTTCGGCTGGTCGGAGTCCAGATCACCGAGGACCTGATCTGGCACGAACACATCTCTTCAATAGCTGCAGCTGCTGGGAAAAAGCTAGGCTATTTGTTTAGGGCTAATAAGTACTTTTCTCCGCATGACCTTCTCACTCTATACAAGGCCCAGATAAGGCCTAGCCTCGAGTATTGCTCACACATTTGGGGTGCTGCCGCCCCGACTACATTGTCCATGCTCGATGCTGTCCAGAGGAGGGCGGTCCGACTGATCGATGACTCTTCTCTAACAGACAGTCTCGGGACTCTTTCGCACCGGCGGGCCGTCGGCGATCTAGCTCTTTTCTATCGCTACACCAACGGGCTTTGCTCCTCAGAGCTCTCTTCCATGATGCCGCCGCGCGATGTGCCTGCCATACAGACCCGCCTGACTTCGGCGTCGCATCCTAACCGTGTCAAACTTCGTAAAAAATCCAAAAAGCGATTTCCTCAACTATCGGAGCTTCCCAGAATCCAATTAGAAAAAGTGGTAGCACCAACCGAAGAAGAAGAAGAATCGCCATCTCTCATCGAGAAGGATGTGAATGGCTTTTGAATCGGTAGAAAGAGAAGAGAGGAGATAAAAAGTCTGGCGCGGTGGTAACTGGTAACATGCGGCAACCGCAGCTCTCCTGTAATTATATAACTATAGAATATGCTGTACAGTTACCTTGGCTCTCTTATAGACTATATCCAGTTCATTGACGTCGAGCCACGGGGAATGGCCCTCCATGCCATCGGATGGTATTCTCTTTGGCAAGAGTTCTTATAGGAAGAACTGTGCTCCTCAAAACGGGACCAGCTTGTTAACCCAACGCATAGCCTTTGATTTCCTAACGTTGGAACGTATAACCCCGTAAGCGTTTGTGTTTAAGAAAAGTAGGGTTATGTATTTCGCTCACTTGTGTATGTATTTGTAGAGTATTAAGAATTATGTTCAACTATGACCGATTTGCCAACGTGGATAATATGTACACAGAACTGAATGTTATTAAACTAGATAAGCTGTTGGAATTAGAACAATGATTTTCAAAATTTTGAATGACCAAGGCAAGTGTCATACAAAAGTTCTGATTACACAAGACTATGAAACAAGATCACAGTAATTTGGACCAGATTCTTCCTAGCACTAATATAGGATAAAATAACCCTGTCGCTGATGATGAATAGCGTAAAGAATGTATATTTATGTAGAAATAATGTAAAAACGCCCAAAAGTCACTTGAATTATTGAATTTATTGTTGTTAAAAATCGCACCTTAAATATGTTTTCGAGGCCAGTGTTCCAAACACAGATTAGAGAACTTTGTTAACTGTGAAAATTCACTGTGGATTAAAGTTTTGTGTTAAAAAAATTGTGTATGTGGACGATGTTTCCTTTTTTGTCCACCGCGTGCGCGGCGATCGATTTAGTTCCCCCCGCTATGCTCTTCGCTCCTGCCAAATGTTCCACAAACCAGGGGTGAGTTCGAGATGACGCATTATGCGTCAAACACCCGAAGCTGAGACAGACGAGAAAAGTTGTTTTGATAATAGTGACACTCTTGACTTCCCCCGTTCGTTAATTATCACCAGCAGCACAGTAGTTCGAGATTTGCTGACACAGGGCATCTTCAGCCACAGGGCTCGGGTCTCAGTGGTGTTGATTTGCCACTGCTAGGAACTTTACTAGGTATTCTGCTTGGCACATAACACCTGATACTTTTACTGGTCAATGAGCTTATAAAGGGTTGTCCAATAGGGACGCAGGAAAGTAAACGTCAATTTGAAATAGACGCCATCTTTGTTTTCTGTCACCGACATGTCATTTTGTTAGTTGAATGTTTACCATTGATCGCTATGGAGTCGTATTCTATTGAAGACCGCATTAATGTTATTCAAGAGCACTACAAAAATGGTGCAAAAATAAAAAACACGTTTCGCGCGCTTCGTGAACATTTCGGTCGCAACAACTGCCCAAACGAAACAACCATCGGTCGTCTGGTGCGTAAATTCGAGGCAACAGGTTCTGTGGCAAATCTGCCAGGCTCTGGCCGGCCAAGGAGCGTTCGCACACCGGAAAATATTGCTGTTGTGAAGGAGAGTGTGAGAGACGATCCGAAACAATCAAAAACGCGTCGATCCCAAGAATTGGGCATTTCGAGAATCAGTTTGCTCCGCATTCTCCACAAGGATTTGAATGTTCACACCTACAAGATCCTATTGACGGAAGAGCTGCGTGGGGCCGACCATTTTTCATGCCGATGCATCCTCAAAAAGTGACTGTGTGGTGTGCATTGTGGTCAAAAGGCATCATCGGACCTTACTTTTTCGAAAATGCGGCCGGGGACGCCGTTACCGTCAATTCTGAGCGATATCACGTGATGATAGAGGACTATTTTTTACCGCAACTTGAAGGAATGGGTATGGACGATGTTTATTTCCAACAAGATGGTGCAACATGCCACACAACCAACGTCAATATCCATCGATTGCAGTCCTTCTTCGGTGATCGCGTGATTTCGCGCAGAGGAAATGAGCCATGGCCACCAAGATCGTGTGATTTGACTCCCTTGGACTTCTTTTTATGGGGATATTTGAAAAGCAAAGTCTACGTCAACAAACCAGCCACCCTCCAAGAACTCAAAAACAACATCATTGCCGAGATAAATGCCATAGAACCGACCGTGTTGCAAAATGTCATTGAAAATTTCGACCATCGCGTTGACGTCTGTAAATCCAGTCGTGGTGAACATTTGAGTGATATTATTTTTCATACATAAATGGTATAAATTAACCTTCAAAATAAAGTACCCAACTTGATTTGAATATCAATCTTTCTTGTTTTAATATGCGTTTACTTTCCTGCGTTCGTTTTGGACAACTCCATATATTAAAGGATGTTTGAGTGCAGTATAGATTGTCACAGCCTACCCAACCGTGGATCCATCTTCATTATCTCCAAAACCGCATTAGAACTAGGTATAATGCCAATGAAAAGAAATGAAACAATTAAACTGTCTGTTCTGAATAGTACTAATTACTAACGCTTTATGGCAGACCCTCTTGGAAATGGCAGGTAGCGGCCGCCACTGTGCCCCTCTACGATTGGCTCGTCGCTCAGGTAAACCAGTCTATTCGGCCTCTCCTCTACCTCGCGCGACACGGAAAATTCAGGCTACGCGAACACCGTTCCTACCTGTACACACGATACGAAAACTCAACTCTGGCGACATATGTGCACACGTAGCGCGTCGTGATTCAAATTCTCCCTGTTCGTACATTCCCCGAAGGCTGTGAACTCACTCTAAAACTCCCCAAGAAGTTTCAGGCGAACTGCAAAAAGTCGAAAAAGTTCAAAACAAACGCGCCAACTTTTGACATGACACCGCTCGTCGTTTGTTTTCACCGTGTCGCGATCCAATCTACCGTTGTTGTTTTTCTGTGAAGTGTGTTGTGATGTTAAGTTGTGTTTGTCTCGTTTCTACAGACTAGAACTTCCGTTTCGCGTGAGATGATGTGATATCCAGCTTGCACCTGGACCGAAAGTTAGGTTAAGTCTACTGAAATCTGTGATAACTCCCGGGAACACGCTTGAATCAAACAGGTGTCACGTGGCAACATGTCGGATATCGTTTGTTTGTAAACTATCCGAAAGAAAATCGTGTAAATGAGCATAAAAGGCCTAAACATGATCGGGCCCCACTACGTATGCGTTCTATACGTGGCAACGGCTGGCCTTCAGGGCCCACTTATGGGCTCTGATGAACAGGAGATCGTACTGCTCATCTATGTGATTGTCGACGTTGTACATAATAAGGTAAGGCCATCAGATACCAAATGAAGAATTAATCATATACTTATTGCATTTTTTGCTAAATTTAGTTTATAAAATGTAATGAAAAACTCCAATATTTTACAATGAAGACTCTTTGGGATTCAAACATGGAACAGTATCTGTATTTTTCTTTTACCTGTGGTTTCTTCGTCTTGGTAGAAGCTGTAAATCTCACAGAAACGTTAGTAAATCATAAGCAAAACATAAGACTATAATCTCCAGAACGTGTGTAAAAAGGGAAAAAATCGTAAATGCTTGAGACAGAATATCAAACATTGATACTTTGTGGTGATTGTCAAAAAAAAGAAAACAATAAACAAGTGGACAAAAGGATGTAACGACTGTCGAATTAGTCCCTTAATTTCCAAAATTCTTGTTCTCCCCTCTAAAGTCTACGTAAAACCATGGGCGTCGTTTTAAAAAAATTATGGTGCCAATGTTTTAAAAATACAAAATATGTTTAATGCTCGGCATCATTAAAGCCAGTAATTCTTCAGTACAAGGTATATATATATTTTGTGCAGCATCAGGTGGTTCACGATGTAATTTTAACTTTCTAAATATTTTTTAATATGTTTTGATGTATTCCTGACATACAGCTGTGTGTATTTTATATTAATTTTAACGAATGTACCATGTATCCAGCTTTCACCAGGCTACTAAATGTTTCCCTCAACCTAACCATTAATAACATTTAGCAACAATCTCACATACTAATGTAAGTAATTTAAAATCATTTTGCACAATAGTTGCTATTTCTTCTCAATGTTATTGCAGCTCTTGATGAAGAAGGCAAAGTCCATCGAAAGCTAGAGACTAACAAAGTATAAAGAGTCCTCATTGCTTGAATTTTGTCGAAGTACCCAACTAAAGGCACAAGCTTTATTTTTCACCTAACTAGTCTAGACGACAATGACCACGTCTGAAATTATATATATCCAAATATAAATATACAGTTTAGGGAATTTTGAAAATGGACATTGTTGTCTTGATATAGGATGGATACCAAAGATATAGTAAGTTCTCCAGTGTCTTGCCAGCCATTTTTTTGCAGTTGTTAGTTGTCCACAATCTCTTTGTATTATCCACTATTCAGTTTTCAAATTGACCTACCTATACATACCTATGCAAAAATGTAAATATATATGCGTACACACATTTATATCGATAATCGAAAATTATGCTATTGCCACAGACTTGTTTGTAGTCAAAATATACAATTGAAACATAATTATTTATAATATCGAGTTCACTAGGTAAATAAATACTGTACAAAGCAAAGCAAATTTATTTAAACGATGTATTTGCTTCTGATTGTGTTGGAGATATTTCCGAATATATTTCTTGAGCCTATTTAAAAAAAAAAAACAATTTCTGATCTACGCGTTCCCTGAGAAACTGTGAAATTTACACTCTAGAGGCCTTGGTATAGAAGCTTGGATAGATGATATGGGTATAAAAAATTTTGTCAGCTCTTGCAGGTATTTAATTTTGGATTCGTTTTTTTTGTATATTTCGTTCGGCATGGACACGTTTGCTCTATCGATTTTACGAATTAATTGATGGCTTGCTAGGAAGGTTATCTTTCACATATGGGATTAAGATGTTGCGCTAGTCTGAAAAATCTAGTCTGGTGGGAAGATACCAACTTTTTGCAATCTCCTAACGAGGGTTACATTGATAACATTCTTAACTATCTGATAAAAAATAAAAATAGTCTTGTGAGCGCCCAGGACGCTAAACCTTGATGTGTTACTCGCGATACTCAACAGGTGGTCAAAACCACATATCAGTCATACACACAAAAGATAAGTGGAATGTGTAATTAAAAAAAACCGCATGTAATATTGACATAAGTATTACTATCGCTGCTATCTCGATCGAAATCATGTATCCTAGGTTAAGTTTATGGTGAATCGGTGAATCGTCCACGGTCATTTTGTGGTGTATTGTGCCTTCCATCTTCTACTGCGTCAAAGAAAAAAATAAACCCTATATAATATGTAATAATCAGTCTTAATCAACTATTATTAAGGGCCGTATCGTCAGTCGTTCCTATAGTTGCAGGACGCCTTTAAGGCCTCCTTTATTTTCGTAGTTCTCTATTGTCCCGTGTCAGCGCTATTTTGAGGTTATGTTACAAATATGTATTTGCATCAAATTGTTCGCGCTTTTGATTTGTATCATCTGTTATATCAGCCTGAAATTACATACAATTCAAAAAGAAAAATAGCATCATAACAGGAGAGTGCTGACGCTGACCCGGAACAGTAGAAATCTAGAAATACCCCAGCCTTTGTGAACGAGAGAAAATACTATGAGAATCAAGGAGACCACAAAGAAAACTAAAATAGTACTAGGTTTGTCTCTTAAAACACAAAAAAATAATGTATCTTTGTTTCCAACATTTTGTAAAAAACAAAGAATAAAACAAATATAACAACGTATTACCTATTGCATCAATATTATTTAACGTTAGTTTAGACGGAAACTCAGATTAATTAGAGGTTTTTTATTGCACGTACTTAAACCCCGTTTAAAGCTGTGTAAACTGTGTCTAACTTAAATGATCAATTTTTGGTCTAATAGATTTTTGGTCTTCATAAATGGATTATTAGATTAACACATGTAGGCTGAAATATGAAAGACAGAATAGTGACAAAAACAGCAATATTGATTGTAGTTGAATTTTATTGAAGCAGCATTGCTATGGATTGCGGACTAGATCCGCTAGGTGAAAGTAGACAAGGCGACATGACAAGACAACCCGAGACAGGTGATTTCACAGAATGCGCACAGTGTAACACATACAAGTTTCAGTTTTACAATTTTTATTTGACGTCGAGTAATTGGCACTTCCTGGTAGCTTAACCAATTAAAGAGTATTTGTCTTGGAATGGACAAGAATGTCTTGTAATAAGAATTGTTTGGATTCTAACTATACGAAGAAGTTAATTGGTATAAGGTATGAGAAACCATGAATCGAATTAAATATGCATACCATACGCAGAAATGCCAAAGGTGACGAAACAGAGTGGAAAATACTATGTTTATGTCCTAAAAGTCTTGGCAGAAAATTCATTGGTTATAATTTTAACAAACACAAAATAATATCAAGTTGCCTTTGGAAACAAAAGCTTGTTTACTGTATATGAAGGTTTATCGTGGATGCTGGGAAGCTCAAGATACAGCGCAATAAGGCCCGTACCGTCCCTACAATTGTAGGGCGCGATTATGTCCTCCTTGGTTGTCATACTCCTTTCTCTCCTTAAAAAATTTCTATATTACACTTGTCCCGTGTCAGCGTCAGCGCTCTCCTACTGTGAAGATGTTTTCTTTTTAAATTGTAGGAAATTTCAGGCTGATAAAACATGATATAACTCAAAAGCAAGCACAATTTGATGCGAGTTCTGACACGGAGAAGTAGAAAACTATGACAATCAAGGAGGCCATAAAGGCGCCCTACAATTGTAGGGATGACTGACGATACGGGCCTAAGACGCCGAATTTACGAAATACTTAGAGAACTTGATATGAATTCCGTCCAGAACCCTGCGTTCGACCTGATGTACTTGAACCATTGGCTTTCGTTTATGAGAGTAATAACCCCCGACACCGAAATTGGTTACATAAGTCACAAAAAAACTACGCGTATCTCTCAATATGTTTAATAGTAGGTACAACAATATCGAGTGTATCTCACCAGTGGCATTCTTTGGTCCGCTTTTTGCTTGGTTCCATCTCTTCCGAGCGTGAAGCAGCACTTTTGCCTGAGGGCAGATCGACGATTTCTTTGGAGGTTATTAAACCGTGCTTGGACCAGCTCTAAGCGAAAGCGCTAGACCGCAAACACGAAAAAATGCCGGCGACGGTTATAGTTTTGGAAGCTCCTTATAGAAAGTCCAAATTACTCTCCCATGATTTTAAGGTTTTTCGGTTAAGTGTTTGACTATAAAAACCAGTAGATCGTCTTTTCAGATCGATAGTCCAAGATCTGTTGTGCCACGGAAAGCCCATATGTTTACGTGGAGGGAATAAGGTGATTTGTACGTCAGAATTCGTCTAGTCGCGCTTTGTTGTTGATAGTACCAGTCATACGACAATTTTCATAATTATATTCAAAACTTGGAATGCCAAGATTCATGAAAATCGGTTATTATCGATTTTTAGTGACGGGAAAAAAAGTTTGACATTTTATCTCTGTTGACAGGTAACAAAATGTCACTTTTTATGAAATTAATTTTTTCCCCGGGGAAACTTTTTCCCTTGTATAATAAATAACTATTATTTACATGGACGTATAAACTGAATAAGTACAAAACCTAATAGAAGGTTGTTTATGGATTATGACAACCGATTATTTAAAACATTGTATGAATACATAAGAAATATTTTAAATAGTACAGTGTGCAGAAAAAATAATGTGGGACAAACATGTTTCATAGAAGGATAGCTCTGTGATTGCATCTACATGAATTTTTCCACATATACACAATAGTACTAATTATTTGAAAATATTTGTTGATGAAATTCAATATGAGGTTAGTCGTTTAACCAAATCCTGATTTCTTCTTGAAAGCGAATATGCTATGTGCTTATTTTATTATCGAAAGAATTATATAAATATAAAAATACGATGTTGTTAATGAAACATGTTAAGTTTTTGCAAAAATGGATGCTTTTTTAATTAACTCTAAAATAGTGTAAATTGATTTCTCCTTTGTTCATACTCAAGGTTACTTTTTGTCTTCGAATAAAACCTGAGTGTGAATAAAAAACGCAATATAATAATCGATAGTAGAGAAAGGGAGCTTCGATGAGTTTTTTATTCGTCTATAAAATAGAAGTAACTGTTGATCTCAAAACAGAGTCAAGCCTGTACTTTCAGTTATATGGTGAAATGGCAATAAAAAGTTTGAGTAAAGGACTATCATCCAGTTATATTTTATGTTGGTGCTTGGTTTAATGAAACGATGCGTTATTAAAATACAGTTGAAATGAACAGGAATTACATAAATATACATTTACATAAAATTCTTAAGTAGATCTACTGACGAACTGACTCATAGCAATATTTGTCATAAACGTATTGCCTAAGATGAAGGATAAAATATTACCAGCATGTCACTTGGCGGGATACCAGCTGTAACAGTATATTTTTTGGGATATATGTAACATTGAGCGCATGCTAAATACTAATGAGCAGGTATTTGAATCAATATGGACATTGATGTGATGCTGATACTTCCGTTTCGTTACATTTTATTTTCAAGATGTTCTATTGGCTCAGGGTTTTACGACTGCTTTGCTCCTAAGATAGTTGCCATAAAATATTTCGCTTATGAGAAACGTGATATTTATAATATATACAGTAATGGACAAAAGTATAATAGACAAATTAATATTGTGCTGTATTTCTTTTTTAACTTGTTTTATTAATACACCAACCTGCAGATACATAATTCGTTATAGCATAATACTCACTCATACAAAAATACATTCATTAGACTTCCTTCAATAAAAAATTAATTGAAAAAAACTGGAACTATGAAGGACAAAAATATATAGACAAAGCAAAACAATTATAGAAAAAAGAAGCAAAGTTGATTGAATTATAGAAAACCAACCATGTTTGTGTTAATATTTTGTAGCATAACCATTATTATCAATCACCACCTGGCATCGTCTCGGCATAGATTGTGGAAGTTTCTTGATATAAGATTCATCAATCTGTCTCCACTTTTGCTCTAAAGCGGCAAAAAGTTCATTCCTGTTTGAATAATTTTTATCTCGCATTTGCTTATCTAAGTACATATTCTCATAGATTTTCAATGGGGTTTATATCGGGAGACTGTGAAGGCCATTTGAGAACTGGTATTTTTTCATCCAGAAAATTTCTGGACCACGCGCAACTTCCACAATACTTGATGAACACAAACTACTCTTCTGACACGAAACTGTACTAAACTAATATTGAAAAGAATTTGTCTACATATGTTTGTCCCTCATAAAAAATTCCATATATTCAGACTTGTATTGTGTTCATTGCAGATAATGTAAAAAACAGGGAATTTAGTTTTTTTACTAATAACGCATTTTTTTATGGAGCAATGAAGTATGAATTCGTTTTCTAAATGGTATCAAAGCCGACCATTTAAAAATAATGGCCTACGACTTAGCCGAACCAATTTCTTATGTCATTAATTGGTGTTTCCAATCTGGAATTTGTCCTGATGCATTTAAAACAACTGTTATTACTCCTGTTTATAAAAGCGGTGACAGAATGGAAACATCAAATTATAGACCCATATCAGTACTATCGAATATAGCCAAAATTTTCTAAAAATTACTACAAAAAAGGATATTACAATTTTTGGACAAAAACAAAATTATATGTTCTGACCAATACGGATTTAGAAAAGGAAAATCTACTACAGATGCAATTTTGGCTGCAATGGATGAAATTAACTCTAATGTCAACAAAAAGATACCTACTATTGGTATCTTTGTTGATCTAAAAAATGCCTTTGATACGGTTAACCATGTCGAGCTTCTGAAAGTTATGGAAAGATTGGGATTTAGGGGAGCGTCACAAATCCTTTTAAAAAATTACCTTTCAAGTCGGCACAGACTGTCAAAATCACTAACACTTACAGTAAAAAAATGTACATCAAGTGTGGTGTGCCTCAAGGAACAGTACCTAGGCCCACTATTATTTAGTCTCTACTTAAATGACTTATTCAAAATTAACAGTTCTGGAAAGATTATATGTTTTGCAGATGACACCCTCGTATTATATAAAGCTGATGACTGGAGCACACTGAAGCAAATAGCTGAAAAGGATTTTATAAGGATCATTGACTGGTTTGATACTAAAATTGTAACAGTTAACTTCAAAAAAACAAAATTTATTGCATTTACATCCTATTCAAAATTTTTACCTACCTTCGAACAAATTTCCGTTAATTATCATGGCCAAAAGACCAAAATCGATAGAGTTAACACTTTGAAATATCTTGGAATATTTATAGACTCACATCTAAGGTGGGATAACCATATTAAATATGATTTCAAAAAAATTAGAAATGTTGCCTATAAACTCAAAATGCTTGCTAACATTCTTACAGAAAGTAATCTGCGAATCCTATACCATGCCTTGGTTGAAACCCATATAATATACGGCATCACAGCCTGGGGTGCCGCCTGCAAGACATATATTTCTGACCTGAATATAGCACAAAAAACTGTTTTGAAAGCCATTTTCCATAAGCCAAAATTATATCCAACGAACAACTTATATCAAGAAACAGGGATACTTGATACAAGACAACTTTATTTCTTACATGCCACCACCTTATACCATAAGTATTGTAATAAAAAGAAAAAATCCTATAAACACGAGCATAACACACGATTTCAAATAGGCTCATCTAATATCCAAAGACACCACAAAACATTATTCAAAAAATCATTTAAATTCTTAGCAGCTAAATTATATAATGTAGTACCAAACGAAATAAAGATACTTAATTTTGGAAAAAAAATTAGAAGAAAATTGAAAGACTGGGTTAGTAATGTGCAGCGAATGACTACATAATTATATAGAAAACTAAAACTACAAAATTCCAATTACATTAATACCTTTTAGATTTAACAATAATTGTTATACACATATATGATTGATTGTTAGTTATTAAGATATAAACCACACACAGGCGATGCCTTCTGTGGTTTTTTCATATTTATTTGCCCATTTTTTGTATTTTGGCGAATAAATATTATTATTATTATTTAGATAAATATTCATATTTGTCTATATACTTTTTGTCCATTACTGTATATATATATATATATACGTATATATATATATATAGTAGTCTGAATTTGATGTAGGTGCTTTTCGATAGACGTCAGATATGTATTTGCCAAATCACAGACCCCTAAAGAAACAGCCACAGAAGATGAGATACCTCGGTCTTCACATCTTATTTACGATCACTTAAGTAAGTTTCAAAAAACTTAAGAGGAATGCCATAAAGTCCAATATACTTTAACTTACTCAACATAATTTTGTGGCCATATTCAAGATATTGACTGTCAAATGGAGTAGTGAAGACTGATGGACAGGGCGTAAATTTTTCATATCTTCGTATCAAACAACTGGAGATAAACAACCTTTTCTAATATCTTTGAAGAGAAACATACAACAAACTCACAAATGTGTGCGTTTTATTTACCCCTTTGTACTGTTTACCCGTTGGGATCAGAGTTGTGGACGTCTATGTCCGAGAACATGCAACAGACACCTGTTGTGACGTGATCGGCCAGTCGACGCCTTGGAGAGAGACAGAGAGAGAGAGGGAGGATATCGAGTTAGCCCTTGCAGTCTGCCATCCTCATTACTTCACCACGATGGTTAGTAACCTAATAATGTCTACAAACTAATTACAGTCCCAAATTACCCATGGCTAGTCAATTAAGAAGCTATCAATCGGATTATCTGAGGGAGAATTTTGACATAATCCGATTTTATTTTTCCTTGAGATCAGTGTCAAATATGCGTTACCTCTTAGGCCCGTATCGTCAGTCGTCCCTACAATTGTAGGGCGCGTTTATGGCCTCCTTGATTGTCATACTCCTTTCTCTCCTTCAAAAATTTCTAGATTACACTTGTCCCGTGTCAGCGTCAGCGCTCTCCTATTGTAAAGATATGTTTTCTTTTTAAATTGTAGGAAATTTCAGGCTGATAAAACATAATATAACTCAAAAGCAAGCACAATTTGAAGCAAATAGATGTTTGTGACATAACCTCAAAATAGAGCGCTGACACGGAGAAGTAGAAAACTATGACAATCAAGGAGGCCATAAAGGCGCCCTACAATTGTAGGGACGACTGACGATACGGGCCTTAGACATGCATCTACTGCCGTGCTTAGCACCGCAAACGTGGCCGATATCAATATTTTTGAATATCTGTGATATCTGATGTCGTTACTTTTTTAGATCAGTGATTTAAAACTGAAATTTAAATGTCCGACATATTAAGCAAGGCCATTATATATATTTATATCATAAACAGTAGACATTCAATTTCCACTCATAGTTAACATTGGCGACTTTAGAAGCAAAAGCTTTAGTATTTCTGGTTCTCAAACAAGGCACAAATAATACTAGATAAAATTACGCTGGCGTCCAAGTCATTACGTAAAAGTTTATACAAAATGGTTATATAATTACATTTTCGACTTAGATCCAGTCTTTATAATTCAATTAAAAAAAATCCCCCCTATAAATACCTTTTTTGAGATGGTCTCGTGTATTTTATCCCTCTGCCAATAATAATAATAATAATAATAATAATAAATGGGCTTTATTTCGTACCTAAGTAAAAGTACAAAAAAGGCGAAGTGTCGCTAAGATTAGCGTTTTTCAACTTAACCTTAACCTTAACAAAATATATATAAGGGTGACTTCGAAGTTGTCATTTATTTTAACAGTGAGTAGATCTGATCAAAAGAAATGTTTTTTTCCTTTACCATTTTTCTGGTAAAATTAAAGTAACAAAGTTATAGCCCTTTGGAAGTTTGAGTACCGCTCTGTCTCAATAATAATATCATGTGCTCGTGTTTGGCAACAACGGATATAATCCGCCTTATCGGTTCATCGCATCGGAAACAAAAAAGCGAAAGAATTTGGAACGATGTTTTTACAATTATTTTATTCAGTTCAGTTATACATACAGTCAGTGTCAGTCGGTAAGGCGTGTGAATAGTGTCTGTTGCGTGGCTCAAACGAAATAAAAATGGCACATGTTTATGCGGATCGGTTTCCCAATCGAGTGCAACCAACCCCTCGTGCCTTTGTTAATGTAGTACAACGGGCTCGTGAATCAGGTGACTTAAAACCTCACAGGGGACCTCACGATCAAATACAGGTCCGCACTGAAATACTTGTCGGGAGGATTCTTTATAAAACAAGGTAAACATTTTTTTTTAAAATTTTTTATTTTTACACACATATTTTGGTTTATCTTCCTTCTACAATCATTATCTGAAAATTAATGACTCAACTTCAAAGTCACCCTGTATATACAGGGTGACTTCGAAGTTGAGTCACTTATTTTAACAGTGAGTAGATCTGATCAAAAGAAATGTTTTTTTCCTTTAACATTTTTCTGGTAAAATTAAAGTAACAAAGTTATAGCCATTTAGAAGTTTGAGTACCGCCCTGTCTCAATAATAATATTATGTGCTCATGTTTGGCAACAACGGATATAATCCGCCTTATCCGTTATCGGAAACAAAAAAGCGAAAGAATTTGAAACGATGTTTTTACTACAATGTACAATTTTATTCAGTTGTATTCAGTCGATGTGTCAGTCGGTAACGCGTGAGTGAATAGTGGTGTTTGTTGCATGGCTCAAACGAAATAAAAAATTGCACATCTTTACGAAAATGCTGAATGTAGTACAAAGGGCTCGTGAATCAGGTGACTTAAGACCTCACAGGGGAGGGCATGCCGGTGCTCCAAGACCGCACGATCAAATACAGGTCCGCACTGAAATACTTGTCGGGAGGATACTTTATAAAACAAGGTAACATTTTTTTTTATTTTTTTTATTTTTACACACATATTTTGGTTTATCTTCCTTCTACAATCATTATCTGAAAATTAATGGCTCAACTTCAAAGTCAATAAAACATTCCACCAACAAAAATGTATCCATAATTCTCAATAATTACTAAATAATTAACAACACAGAACAATTACAAGAATAGTCCATATTTCTAGCATTGTGTACTCATCACCAGACCTCGACTTGTAGTTTTAGTTTAAGCCTCTTTTTAAAATTGAATAACGTATAGTTTTGGAATGGATCACTTCTAAAACTAAGTGTGTAATGTATGTATGTACTATTATACTGTGACGTTGATAGTTTGGTCACGTTCTATCAGTATCCGGAATAAAAATAAAATTGTGTCTGCTGCTCCTTTGGTGGGAAATAGAGGATTTAAGTGATGCAATTTTGTCTAGGTAGATATGCATTTACAATATACCCAAAAATTTCAACGGATCCTGCTTCTTTCGCCTTAGACCGTCTCAACACTCCATAACTTTACTTTGTATTTTTAATATTACTATGTATAAAAGTTTGAAGATGTCACAAGTTATCGCCGACAACAAAACTGTCTAAGCATTTGAGGACTAATGTGATAATAAAGAGTTCGTAGTAAAATTCCCATTAGGACAGTACGTAAGTGACTTTTTTAACGACACATTTCATAAAAGGAAATATACTGACATATAAATCCGAACACCCAGTTTAAATGGTTTTATTTTAATAAAATTTTGTATAAGTACTTAATGAAGCATAATAAGTAAATGATAAAAATTTCAAAATGAATGCACTGCTTTAAAGCCCTTTGACCTTTAATAATGTGTGGATGCACCCTGATGTGCTACGCATTTTCCAACGCGCCTAGGCATGCTTCTGATCAGGTGGTCAATGTCCTCCTGTGGTATCTCATTCCAGGCAACCACCAACTCTTCTCGAAGTGCTTCTAGAGTCTGAGGAGGACGTTGCAAATTGAGCAATCTCCTACCCATCATATCCCACACGTGCTCAATTGGGGATAAGTCGTTAGATCTTGGTGGCCATGGTAACAATGCGATATCATTATGTTGAAAGAAGTCTATTGTGACTCTTGCAACATGTGGTCGGGCATTATCTTGTTGGAAAGTTGGATCTGCCAGGGTGTCAAGATAGGGTAAAAGATGGGGTTCTAGAACTTCGTGGATATAACGCTGCACGTTCATGTTGAAGATTAAAGGTGACCTGGAACCATAAGCTATAGCACCCCAAACCATAACTCCAACAGTGTGATGAACATGTCTTTCAACAAAAAACTGTGGATTCCTCCTTTCACCACGTCGCCTTCTAACCCTGGCACGACCATCGTGCATGCCTAAACAAAATCGAGACTCGTCACTAAAGACAATACTGTTCCATTCCCCATAAAGGGAGGACCCAGTGTGGCCGGTATGAAAACAAGCCAAAACTTCTCATTCGTCGGTAAACACTTCGCATGCCAATAGGTCTTCCGTGTTCTGCAAACCATTCATTTGCAATGGACCTGGTAGTGGAGAAACGGTCCCTTAAGGCCAATAATCTTAGGCGGCGATCTTCACGGTCTGTTGTTCTACGGCGGCGTCCAGTGCCCCTTGCTCTTTGCGTACGGCCTTCTCGAAGCCATGCCTGACAACACCTAACCACAGTGTCTACACTTCTTTGCACTCTAACTGCAATTGCCCGAAAAGAAAGTCCAGCTTCCCGAAGTCCCACTATACGGCCCCTATCAAACTCACTAAGTTGACGAAATCGTACAGGTTTCCGTACTCTAGGCATCGTAACCGATCGTAAAGGATGTCAAGAACCAAAATCCGCCAACGTTGATTCTTTACTGCGGCTGAAATATTCATTTTTAGAGCGTTAGTGAATTAAAAAAAAGCAGTATAAAAACCGGAATGTCCAACTGATAGGGCTGAAAATTTTTTCACTTGTTATTTACAGTAAGATAAATACATTCACCAACTTTTATTAAAATAAAACCATTTAAACTGGGTGTTCGGATTTATATGTCACTTAGAATAGTTCATTTTAATCACCGAAAATAATTAAATATTAGTGCAGTCGTTACCTATACAGACAAAAGGATTATTATTTTATGTTATTAGTAAGAAGGACGTGTCCACCTACAATTCCTAGATTGATGTTACTGAAATAATGTTTACGTTTACAGAAACGTTGTGGGAGCGATAATATATTCAATAATTTCACAATACTCTTGTTTATTTTTAAATGTTGTAAGGTCGGTTCTAAGATTTCTTGGACTTGTTTGACATAATGCATATACAGGGTGTAAACGTTATGATAGTCATTATTTAAATGGGTGATAGAGGGGGTTAAAAGTAGCAGTGTGTTTTTTTTTGGAAGTCATATGCCATGTACATTTTCATACAACGTTACTACTATGTCAAGATCGCAAAAGCTTTGTAGTTTTTGAAAATCGGCCCAGTAGCGGCAGAGAAAAAGGCCTAAAACGGGCAAAAAATAGAGGTAAAAAACTTGAGGGAGGGGAAGAACACACCCTAAGCATGAGCCCATATCAGGTATGCAAGGTGGCTGTCGCTTGAGGGGTAAAATATTCTTTATAGAGTACCTGTTTCTTGGAAAACCAGAGGCGGGTGTTTTTTTACTACTCAAAATAAGACTTTTTTATTAAAAACATGGTCGATGACGGCAGCTAAAATGGCAGTATGCGCGACCACAGGTACTCATCATGCTACCAGCTTAGATGTACAGGATGGCCAATATGTAACTGTCTTGTTTGTATCTTGAATATTTGTGTAATGAA